AATTTCTGTATAAAATTATCAATATTATTATTAATATATAGTCATTTTTAATTTATTTTTAATCTGACAAAAGTATTAACATTAGTCATTTAGTTGACTTTTATTCTAACGCAATACTAGCAATACTGGAATGTGAGATTCACCTAGTAATATATACTTGTGTGAACATATGCGTCAACTTGAGCTTAAGCAATTGTTTTAAATATCAATCTCAACCTTTTTCATGTTGATAAAAATGTATTTGTGATGCACTTTTAAAAGTTAGAATAAGCGTCCACATAGCTGACGCATTCATTTTTCTACTTGCGTCAATTTTCCTTTTATCTACATCCATATTTTCTCACGCAAATGGGGTTACATTCTTGCAGTGCATATTACATTTCCTAAAGATATGTTTCAGACAAACATAAGGAATCATATTCATAAGGGTCCTGCAACTCATAATGAGTACTATGAGGATGATAAGGATTGGGAGTACTAGAAAGTAAATGAAAAGCAGCTTGGCAATCTGTTTCAATAGTCACACGATCAAACTGCAAATTAGTAGCAACATGACATTTATATAGATGTAAGATAATCCAAACTCATATATCATGATCACTTACATTCAAGTAAGCACGTACAATAGAAAACTTCTCACAATCCAATCCATCATTTGGGTCCTCAGCACTTTTGACCCATCCCTTGTTCCCTCATCAATCCTCTCTATTTACTGAATCATAGGCCCAAAACTGCAAAAGGGGGTGAGAAGAGGCTTGAGATGAGAGGAGAAAAAGGCCATGGGAAAGAAACAAAAATCTAGGTAGACTTAGCATGAAATACAAAAACTAGTTTATGGTACCAACTAACTAGTGAAAGAAGGGTTAATTTGCATAGATCGTCAACAAGAAGGGGATATTTACTTGTGAAAAAGTTGAAAGAGTGATCATTAATAGAGTAGAGAGCTTGATTTGCATAATTTGCCAAAGAAAAAGAAAAAAACTAGTACCTGGGTATTTGTCTATTTGACGTTGGATTACTTGGGTTGGGCTGAAGTGTTCACTTGCTCCGAGTCCGAAGTCGAAAGTCCGAACCTAGTTATATCCAATTGAAGCCCTAGTTGAACCGAAACCCAAGTAGTTCCCATCCCCTTATTCTCTAAACCCAAAACCATTGCCCATAAAATCCCTACTTCCGTCTCCGGTACTCTCCTTGTTCACCTCCTGCAAAACCCTAGTTAAACCCTCATTTTCTCAATTTCGTCATGCTTGAGGTGGACGTTTCCCGTTCAGAGAAAAAACAAAGGCTTAATTCAATTTTTAGTCTATTAACTATCAATTTAATTTTATTTTAGTTTAAAAAGTTCATTTTCTTTCTAAATAGTTTATAAACTTTGGAGAATATTTTAAAATAATCTACAGTACAAAATTTTGTTAGATTTAACGGAAAGAATAGTCTTTTAAGTTTTGAAAAAATAACATTATAATTCTAATAAAATATGATGACTCAAGAAATATTTTATAGAGAAATATTTTATATAGATAGATTAATTCGAATTTGTAATAAACTTAAGCAGCTAATTCAATTCAAATAGAAAAACTTAGTAAGTTTAGAACGTGAAGTTTTAAGAATAAATCTGTTTTACAGAACAGGTGCTTGGATTTATATACTTTTAATTAATAAGAAAAGTGTGATTAACATACTTTTAATTTAAAAAACGTTTTATTTTAATTTTTTTTAAAAATATTATAATTATAATGCTATATAATATTATAAATTTACAATAAGTTGTGTAATTATATAATATTATTTAAATGCCTTTGAAAAAATAATATAAAAATAAAATTAAGGGTATTTAAATAATTTTATATGACAGACTGCATATAGTTTACTCTGTAAAACAATTTTTTAAAAAACACATTTAGTAAGGTGGTAATAAAAACTATTTTTATAGTGGATATAAATTTAAAGACTAAAAAATAAAAAATATATATAGTTAGAGGATTATATATTTTCTCATAGAATCAAACAGATTCGTAACGGATTAGATAAAATTGAAATAAATGTGAAGGATAATAAACAGAATTAAAAGAATTCAAAAATAATAGATGAAACTAAAAAAGAATGAAAGTTAATAGATGATTTGTTAAAGGACGATGATTGGCACATATCGCAATTCCTCACCCTCTGATACACACTCTCATTTCGTTATTTAATATGTTAACTCTGTTATTTACTCTGATAACTCTAAAGACCCCTAATAGCGGCGAGTTGCTGCTCCTTCCCTTCCTCTTCTGCCACTTTGCTATTCAGCAGAACCCAAATCAGGTTCTGCAACCTAGATGCATAACCCAAATAGGAGCGACGAAGAGAAGGAAGAAGAGGGGGAGGAGAGGTAAAGAAAATCAAAGAACTAGGGCTGGGTGAAGAGGAAAGTTGTGTTGGGTGAAAAGAAGAGCTGATGGGTTAACGAAAGAAATGGAGATAAATGGAGAGAAACGGAGACGTAGTGAGTGTGTGATGGAGGGTATGATAATAGAATGTGCATACATCATTTTCCTTTGTTAAATTAACTTGAAAAAAAAAAAATCCACACTGCAATCCAACGCCAAAGACGTACACCACCGCCTCCGTCCACCACCATCGGTGACTGACACTGATTTCCTAATCAAAACCTAGAGTTTCACTCCACCCATCGACACCTCCAACTGGCCCATCCTCCTTAAGAATTATGACTGCCTCAACGTTCGGACTGGTCACCATACCCATCGCCGTCAGGGTACTCCCTTATTGAGTGCCCTGTCGCTGAATACATCAGGTATGGTATCCTGAACCTTGATAAACCAGCTAACCCATCTTTGCACGAAGTTGTTGCCTGGATCAAGCGCATTTTTTGTGTCGAGAAGACTGGCCATGGTGGTACTTTAGGCCCCAAAGTCACAGGAAATCTCATTGTTTGCATTGACAAAGCCACCCGG